TTCCATCTGGAGTCCAGTTATTCAGGGTCACCACCAGAGTATCCCAACTTTCTGGCAGTGAGCTAAACAGCAGCAATGCCTGCAATTCTTCATCAATTTTCATATCAGCCTTTGACAGCTGATTCACAATACCTTTGTAGGTGTTCAGGTGTTCAATCATGCTCATGCCGTCTTTGTATTCAAGCTTCACAAGTCGGCGAACCATGTATGCTTTATTTCTGGGAGTCTTCTTCTGAATCATGGACTCCAGCTTCGTCCATAACTCATACGCGTTTGTGAATTCGGACACGTGCTCAAAGAGGCTTTTATCAATATATTTCCTGATCGTGGCTACCGCCTTCCGACTCAGGATCTCCCACACCTTATCAGTTTTTCCTGTCGGTCTCTCATGAAGGATAATGGGCTCATGTAAATCTTTGCAGTAGAGATGATCTTCCATCATCGGTCTCCAATAAGTGAAGTTGTCTGCGGTCAACTTGAACATATCTCCATCATGAGTTATGCCACTGGTCTCCATCTCGTCTCCCTCAGAACCCGTCGAACTCGGGCTCTGATACCACTGTTGGGAACTCGGTTTCTTCAGATCGGCTCAGGGGCCTTTTGCGGAAGTCAGTCAGCAAGATCCTGATCTCGGATCTCGACAATACCTCGGCCTGAACTTCACCAGGTCGGGCAGCGCAGCTAAAATCAAAACGAAAACAGGAGAGAGAGAAGAAGAATACAACCAGATTTAACGTGGAAAAACCTTCTTCAATGAAGAAGTAAAAACCCACGGGACCTAGTCCAGATCAAAAATCCACTATGAAAATAATGGTTACAAAGAATCAAATACACCAATGTGGTGGTTAACTCAACTTATCCAACAATGGTGATAATCAAATTACCCTAGAGATGTTTCACTCAAACTCTCTCTAGAGATCTCTCAAATGCAAAGCATAAAACTTTGCTCAAACAATCAAATAATTCTCTCAAATTTCTTAACCTAGCCTCCACCCACAACTAATGAGTATATATAGAGGAGGTGGAAATTAGGGTTAGGGTTTTTAGGAAACCCCTCAAATGGGCTTGGGCTTAGCATTGAAGGAGGAAGCCCAATATTTTTTTAGATATTTGAGTATGTTTATAATTCTTTAATATAAATTGTAAAATTACATATAATTACCAGGTCATGCGATTGAACCAGTGACCCACTCGTTTAACCAGTGACCCAGTACCTCGACCGGATTAATAATCGAGCCGATTTTAATAACATCGGTTTAAACCATGCGACTGATCATTTTTCCGTGACTTGTTTTTTTTTTTTTTAAATGTGGGCCCCATCTAATTTGCTCTCTAGGAACATGGGAAGTTATAGGCCCACAAAAAAATATTAATCGAGGGCATTATAATAAGTTTGTACGCGGCAAGCTGGTGAAGCAAAGGACAAGGGAAATTGGAACTGAATGCTACAAACTCGGAAACATCCAGGTTATGTGATAGTTAGGGCCTAGGATGATGGCATAGGTTTTGAGAAGACATGAATTGTTAAATTTTTGGATTGGTTCTCGTTCTCATTTTCATCGCATACTTCTGAAATAAAATTCTTCACATCATTCTCAAGTCTCATTCTTTACCTTGTGAACTTCTTCTGTAACATCTCGAGCGCTGACGAGGGCGGGGAGTGATCGCCGATGCGAAAGGGCATGGACAAGGAGCGGCTCCTAACAGGCTTCCAGTGGGGGGGTTACATGCATGAATAATTCGAATCGACATCCGAAAGAGAGGGATTCCAAAGACTGTGCAGGTGTGAGACTGCACAGTTTGTGATAGCTTATAAGAATTAATTGGTACTACCTATGCTAACAAGATGCATCTTCTTTTCGGTAGCCCTAAACGGAAGAACTCCACAGTTAAGCGTGCTTGACTTGGAGCAATTATGGGATGGGTGACCTCCTGGGAAGTTTTCCCAGGAAGTGTGCGAGTGAGGAAAGAGCACACTGAAAAGTCTCGTGTTAGTATGTGGGGATAGTCATTGATTCTTGAAGCGGTCGGGCGTTACAAGATGGTATCAGAGCAGGGCCTCTCATCCAGTACGGTGTGGTTCGAGGACGAACCAGGCGGAAGCTGGTGGGCATGTAACATCCCGGGCGCTGACGAGGGCGGGGAGTGATCGCCGGTGCGCAAGGCCACGGACAAGGAGCGGCTCCTGGCAGGCTTCTAGGGACGGGGGTACATGAATGAATCGAATCAACACCCGAAAGAGAGGGATTCCACAGACTGTGCTGGTATGGGACGGTACAGTTGGGAATGACTTATAAGAATTAATTGGTACTACCTATACTAACAAGATGCATCTACTTTTTGGTAGCCTGGATCGGAAGAACTCCACAGTTAAGCGTTCTTGACTTGGAGCAATTCAGGGATGAGTGACCTCCTGGGAAGTTTTCCCGGGAAGTGTGCGAGTGAGGACAAAGCACGCTGAAAAGTCTCGTGTTAGTGTGTGGGGACAGTCCCCTTGCAAGTTTCCAGGCGTTACAAGTGGTATCAGAGCAGGCCTCTCTTCCAGTACGGTGTGGTTCGAGGACGAACCAGGCGGAAGCTGGTGGGCATGTAACATCTCGAGCGCTAACGAGGGCGGGGAGTGATCGCCGGTGCGAAAGGGCATGGACAAGGAGCGGCTCCTGACAGGCTTCCAGTGGGGGGTTACATGCATGAATGATTCGAATCGACACCCGAAAGAGAGGGATTCCAAAGACTGTGCAGGTGTGAGACTGCACAGTTTGGGATAACTTATAAGAATTAATTGGTACTACCTATGCTAACAAGATGCATCTTCTTTTTGGTAGCCCAAAACGAAAGAACTCCACAGTTAAGCGTGCTTGACTTGGAGCAATTTTTGGATGGGTGACCTCCTGAGAAGTTTTCCCAGGAAGTGTGCGAGTGAGGAAAAAACATACTGAAAAGTCTCGTGTTAGTATGTGGGGATAGTCATTGATTCTTGAAGCGGTCGGGCGTTACATCTTCTGCATATGGATTATCATCTTTTATTTTTTAGATACAGAGGGAGAAGTGTTGAAAGGGCAAATTGTAGAACACTGGGCATGATTAATTTTAAGTTATATATATATATATATGGGAAAAATGTTTCTGCAGTTAATGCAGATAAATTATCTTCATTTATTTCCAAAACTACGTCGTTTTAGTATTGAAATCTTAAAAAATTATAAATATAAAGACTTGTAATCCTGAAATAAATTAAAATTACAAAAACACCATGATTTCCGTCCCAAAACGACGTCGTATTGGGCTTACTGCAGATAGCTTATCTGCAGTAACTGCAGAAAAAACGAACCCTATATATATATATATAGGATACTTTGACACTGGTGTCAAATTTAAAGTTTGACACCTCATCTGAAAGCCATTAGATCCGATGGCTCTGATTTGTAAGCTTGTTACACCATTGAACTTTTTTGATCTAATGGTTTTCCCCATATATATATATATATAGGAAAAGATATTGTAACAACCAAGTTATGTTACTACCATGTTACTACCAATCAATCTCACCGTTAGATTAATTATGTTGATCCAACGGTTATATTTATTTTCATCTTTATATGATTATGATTCCTCATATTTAAAGTGAAAGCATTAAGTATGGGAAATCATAACCATACAAAGGTGGAAATAAATATAAAGTATTAAATTTGGGAAATCATGACTATACAAAGATGAAAATAAATATAACCGTTGGATCAACATAATCGATCTAACGGTGAGATTGATTGGTAGTAACATGGTAGTAACACAGCTTGGTTGTTACAATATCCTTCCTATATATATATATATGTGTGTGTGTGTGTGAAGATCAATTTACATATGTATAGAAATAAAAAATCTTCCGTCTAATCTTAATTATGGATCTGTTTACATTAATGACTTACATATTTAAAAATTTATAGCAATTAAATATAAATAAGATCAATGATTAGAATTGAAAATGTAAATTAAACGGGCATAAAATAATTCTGCCCAATATATATATATATATATATATATATATATATAAGGAGAAGATTATATTTACAATTTTTTTGTTTACAAACTTTTATAAACTATACTATGTCTGACCGGTCATACTTCAATCAAGAGTGTATGACTAGTCAGACTTAGTATATTTTGTAAAAGAGTTCGTAAACGGATCATTCCCTTATATAAATTCAGTTTTCTTAGCATGTGCAGTGCGATTATAATAGGACACTGATCCAAAATGGTCTAACTAAAGAGCAAAGGTCAAGTGCCTTGAATGAAGCTTATTGTAATCCAAGTTGATCATATTTATAAATCAGGGGGTCTTGTAGTATCCTCAAGACATCGATTCATTAGAATATTATTTACTGCATAGAGAGCATACTATTGGAACCACTTCCTATATGAGAATATGCATATGAAAATTCTTATCCACATTGGTTATCTTAATCTCAACTACTGAATTGTCTGTTTCTCATTTGTCCAAGGAGAAGTTCCCCAGTGGAGGGGAAGCCTTCGACATAATCCAAACATTGTTTTGGAGGATGTTCCTAGGATTTTCCTTGCAAATCTCATCATCAACCACTAAGAAACAAGCAAAACCTGTTTGGACATGATTGTATTTGACAATGATACCCTTTCTGTCCAGCACTAATGTGTCTTATTCTATATAGAGACAATTTTGGGCAGAGAGGGGGTTCTGAATTTCAGAAATTTCATATTCCTCTGATGCATCAGAAAGGTGACAAATTAGAGGTGACAAAAACAACCCCTTCTCTTGTCCGTTATTGGGAAACTCTTCAGGACAAGGGGTTCTATTCTCTATAAAGCTCTATACCACAAACACTTAAGAGCTTTGCATTTAGCCGGGTAACAATAGGACCTTTGGTTTTTTTGCTCTTTAGAGGCCTTCTTGACATACCAAGAAGGCTAGCTGTTAATAATTTGAAGTTGGTCGTGTTGCTTGATCAGTTGTTCAAGGTGCACCTATGGACTCAGGTAATACTCTTTGTTCTTTAAGAATTCATGGCTAAAGAAATTGATGCTTTTAAAAACAGAAAGGAGAAACAACACAAACTTTAATCTTTTCATGCGCATCACTTAGTTCTCTTATGGACTTGATTGCTCAGTAGTTACTAAAAATTTGAGCCCCTAAAAGTAAAAAAAAGGGGATACAATTTAGAGCTTAACATTGCGAGAAGTGTATGAAAAAAATTTTAGTATAAAAAGTAAACTAAAGTCACCGAAAAAGCTCAAAAACTATGCTTGGTCATTCATTAGATTTGACAGCCTGTTCGCCATTTATTAGAATTAATTATTTGCGTTATTTTATCATTATTTTGGATATAATATTTGACATTATTGTAATTAGTTGAAATTTCCGTTTGAAGTGGTAAGCCACACTTTCTACCACCACAGACATCACAGACAACAATATGAGCAAATCTAAAACATATTTTCAGGCTGTGAACTTAGTATATGATAAGTTGATCACTTAGGAGAAGATATCTCCACATTATTATTTTACAGCTTTTCATTTTTGATTTAACTATTGCTCTTCAGCTAACTTTTCTTTTACAGAATCATTTATGTTAGTTTGGTGAAAGAACAGAATAATTATTCCTTGGACTTGATGACATGTTTTGTTAGAACTTATATTTTAGAAGAGTCCTTGTGTAATTGGTAAGATTGCTTCTAGAAAAATGATACTTAGTTCCAACATTTAGATGCTTTGAGTGGAATGAACATCTTTTGTTTTTTCTTCACACCTATGGATCTTACTTATGCTAATTCAGCTATTATGGACTAGGTTCACCGTACCAGTGGCTGAGGGAGATGATATGGGATTCCCAAAGCTTAAATCCGATGAGTCTTCTAATTGAGTGTGCTAAATGTGTTGCATCAGGCAGCATCAAGAATGCAGATATTGGACTTGAATATATTTCTCAAATTTCATCTCCTGAAGGTGATGCAGCACAACGGATGGTCACCTATTTCAGTGAAGCACTTGGTTACAGGATAGTCAAACATTTACCTGGTGTATATAAAGCTCTCAATTCCTCAAAAACTTCATTGTCTTCTGAAGACATCCTTGTTCAGAAATACTTCTATGAATTGTGTCCCTTTTTGAAGTTTTCATACCTGATCGCGAATCAAGCGATTGTTGAAGCAATGGAATTTGAAAAGTTTGTTCATATTATTGATCTCCATTGTTCTGAGCCAGCTCAATGGATAAATCTTCTACTAACTTTAAAGAAACGTCAAGGAGGACCACCCAATTTGAAAATTACAGGCATTCATGAAAAGAAAGAGGTTTTGGACCAAATGAGGTTTCATTTAACAACTGAAGCTGGGAATTTGGATTTTCCTTTGCAGTTCTATCCAATTGTTAGCAAATTGGAAGATGTTGATTTTGAAAACTTGCCTGTCAAGACAGGAGATGCTCTTGCAATTACTTCTGTTCTTCAGCTGCATTCTCTTCTTGCAACTGATGATGAAGTTGTTGGGAAATTCTCACCAGCAGGAGCAGCATCAATGAATCTGCATAGAGCAGTGCACATGGGCCAAAGGACTTTCGCAGAATGGCTTGAGAGAGATATGATCAATGCTTATATCTTGAGTCCCGATTCTGCATTATCACCTCTTTCTTTTGGTGCTTCTCCTAAGATGGGGATCTTTCTTAATGCTATGCGAAAGCTTCAACCAAAACTATTTGTGATAACTGAACAAGAATCAAATCTAAATGGATCTAATTTGATGGAGAGATTTGACAGAGCAATGTACTTTTACAGTGCATTGTTTGATTGCTTGGAGTCTACTGTTATGAGAACATCAGCAGAGAGACAAAAACTTGAGAGCAAGCTTCTCGGAGAGCAGATAAAGAACATTATTGCTTGTGAGGGGGTTGACAGAAAGGAGAGGCATGAGAAACTTGAGAAATGGATTCAAAGGCTTGAAATGGCTGGGTTTGTGAAGGTACCTTTGAGCTACAATGGGAGAATAGAAGCAAAGAATCTGTTGCAGAGCTATGGTCATAAATACAAGTTTCGAGAAGAGAATGATTGCTTGCTTGTCTGCTGGAGTGATAGACCCCTCTTCTCTGTATCGGCATGGAATTTTAGGAGATGAATCTTCATATATATATATATATATATCTATATATATATATATCTGCTGGAATATGAAGGTCCCCTTGAGGTGTTTAATTATTATGCCATGGGTTTGAAGAGATATAAAATGAAATAATCAACAAGACTAGGAGGTGGATGGGTTTGTACTTTCATCTTTCTTTCTTTTCTAAGTTTTAATTGTTTCAATGTATAAAGGATTTTGTGTTTTTGTTCTCATTAGCTGCTGGGTGTTTTTAAAGAAGTCAAACAACATATCCATCTTGTATTGTTGCTAATGTTAATATCAATTCATTTCTGTACAACATGTTTCATTTTTTATTCCCACGTTTGTTGAATTTTCAAATAAATTTTTAAATGTCACTGCTCTTGGTTTGTATCTCTTTGGAGGTTTGGTGCTCTTTGGCTTTTATTGAAATGGACCACCACATTTTTCTTACTCAAGCTTTTGCAGGATCACCAACTTCAGTTATATTAGTACATACTACATAGCATTGGCTAAAACTCATGTTCATTTACAACAGAAGGTGGTGGTTGGTAAATCAACCAAAGCTGCGAAAAACTCCCGCATAAGAAATTGAGACATAGCTATGCCAAAGGCATGTTTGAGTATGTTCAGAGAGAAAAGAGAAGCATATGTTGAAAATTGTGTCAATGCACACACTTGATTGTTGGGAATGCAAATATGAGTGATGAATTCTCACTCTAGTTACAAATTGACCAAGCAAGAAACATATAAGTGAAAGACTTAGAAACTCAATGCTTTAAAGCTTTTGGTTATGATGTGGTGTCGGTTTACTCATTGTGGGTTGTCGTTTAGTTCATTCATAGAGGTCTCCCTTGCTTTAGCTTTAGGCTTCACATGGCTACCTAACATATATGCGATAGGATATTTTTCTTAATGATGTGATAATCTACCTCAATGTGTTTGGTCTTACCGTAAAACACTGGATATGTAACGCCCCGTCTGCAACCGGTTAATTAACATTCATACGATAGTAAGCGCAACATGCTCAACTTAATTAATGCGGAAACTAACTGAATAAATTTTCTCTTTTTCCTTATGTATTGCAAACGTTTTCACTTCCATGGCCAAAATAAAAGGGACATCATTTTCTCTGCATTTTGGACCACTGGAGATAATTCCCACAAAGATAATTTCAACCTGATTGACAATTTGATATAATCCAGACATAAACCATATTATCCAGCCATCCATGGCATAGGCTATCCCATACATAACAGGTCTCAAAATAATATCCATAAAGTTACTTACATGATTACATCAACCAACTAAAAGAGATGTAATCAAATAAGTAACCCAGACATATACATACATAACTAACAAAATAGATAAACTATCAACATGGCATAGACATCTCCTATGCTCTGAAAATAATGACATGGCATATAGATACATATCCAAAATAAAACCATGCCAAATACGTATCAGTATAACAAGCTAATTCTAACTATCATGTCAGGTAATATCTCTCATCTGGCTTCTTGTCACGTTATGTCTCAGCACCATCAACTCTGTACCTGAAATGGTAATTCTCATAACGCGGGATGAGATAATGTAATTACCTCAGTAAGCTAGGGACCCTTGGAGGGCTCTTCCACCCATAAGCTCACTTCTGGTATAATCACAGCACATAAAATATCCATGCATGCATCAGAATATGTATGACAATGCAGTGTGCAATGATGTAATCCTACTGGCCAGAGAATATAACAAGTATGCATTACGCAAGGAAACACCGTCTTGCAACATACCGTATGAGGAAACACTGTCTCATACTATGCATAAGGAAACACTGTCTTATGCCTCACACAAGGAAACACCGTCTTATGTGGCACACAAATATACATACATATACATGCAACACATAATAGTTCATTTTCAACATACCATATCAAACTACCATCCTCCCTCAGAGTCTGGTGGAACAAACGGGGGATTAACCCCAAGGACCGAAAGCTTACCTGGGATAGCTCTTTTTCTAGCCTCTTCCAAGTCAAAGGTCCACAAGCCAACAAAATGCTCAACAAATGACCAACACACCTATCTATGGTGAATTTATCACAATTAAACATATATTCATTTCATATAAGTTTCACATCAAACTATTGTTTGATACTTACCTCAATCTCAAATAATTAAGAGCTTGCTCAACGTCCATATCTTGCTCTAGTCCATGCTCTTGCTCCATAAGTCCATTTGGTCTCACACTATAACCAATGAACACATTTACATCATTATTCATCATAAATTTATATATACGGTATTGTTCATCTCTACAGTACTATTCACGTATATGTCACTATTCATGTATACGATACTATTCAAAAATACGGTATCTTTAATTTTTTCGAATACATTTTAACTGTTAAAATCTTCATCTAAACATTTTTCTCAACATGAGCTAAGCCTCAATCAAATGCTCATTCAAGCCAAAGTTTCAAAATGGAAACCTAAATTCAATCTTCATAAAAACATGAAAAAGGAAAGGAATTTCTTACCACAATGCATTCTAGAACAAAGGAGAGATGAGTTTCTAAGCTCCCATGGCTTCAAACTCCATCAAAACCCACCCAAAAATACTGGTACCAATGGATTCTTCTCGAAATTTCTCACAAGTTTGGCTTTGGAACGAAGTGATTTGGAGGTCTCTAGCTCAAGTTATGAATTTTGAAAGATTTTATTTCTTCTTTTACCAAATTGTGACTTTATTTCTTTTTCTTCTACTTTTCTTATAATTATTCTTCAATATTATGATTAAAATCATTAATTCATAATTAAATCCACAACTACTACATGTGAGGGTTATTATAGGATATGAGTTGATACACAAAGCCGCTTGATTGTTACATGTAAGTATCATTTGCATAGTGTCCCCAAATCAATGTTCTTTAAGAAGTTGTTCAACCAAATGAGCTTGCAAGGCCATTGCTCGGTGTGCTCGGTATTCTACTTAGGCACTTAACCTTGCAACTATATTTTGTTTTTTACTTTTCTATGATATCATATTGCATTCAAAGAACACGCAACACCTTGAAGTTAATTGTTGATCAATAGGAGAATTTGCCCAATTCGCATCTAGGGAGCTAAAACTTAAGAATGTAAATGACAGAATCCTAATGTTGATGTCATAATGGTACCCTCGGAAGCTTGACATTTGCATACAGACCAACTTAAAAAGGTTTGTGAAGATGACACACTAGGTCAGACTCCCTCTAAGAACAAATCCATTTAGTTGCTGAGTCATACCAAACCGTTGCATAAAAGAGCTTAATCATTGAGATGAACATACAAAGATTTGCGAAAAATGACACGCTAGACCAGATTCTTCAAGAGCAACAAACCCATATGGTTGCTATGTAACCTTTTTTTGTCAAAATCACTATGAAGGAAAGCATTCCTAATGTTCAACTGATGAAGGAACTAATGACGAATAGCAACCATTGAGAAAAAGAGCAGTACACGATGTTGGGTATGGCTATACTTTGTATTCAGATAGCGACTCAAGTTAGCTGGACACAGAGAAAGCCAACAGGTCCTCTTCATGAATACCTGTTGTTGCTTAGGATTTATAAACCTATTTGTATTTCTCTTGTAAATAAAGTGCTTTGTAACAAGTGCAAGGAAGAGAATATAGTGAAATATTACTAGATGTAGCTCACATTTGGTGAATTGGGATAAATCTGTGTCAATTTTCTTTCTTCCTTTCTCTTTTTTCTGTTTTTCGATTATGTGTATGATTTTTTGGTCCCAACACAGAAGTCATGTTAGCCACAAGAGAAAAAGGTGTCTTCATAATCCAAGACAATTCTAGGTATACTCCTTTGTGACTAGACACACCTAATGAACACCATTCAGATAAAGGCACTTGCTATTGTTGCACCTTACATATGAATGTTTGGTACAAAGAACTCTTGTGCCTTGGATTATAGGTTTCTATTAATTTTAGAAAGTCCCATTATTTAAACTATTTTACAGGAGGTTTTTGTGCCAGTGAGATGAGTATGGATTGCTACTTTTGTTTGAATGTTTGAACTTTGAATCCTTCTGTTTGAATATGAATACTCTTTGCATTAGTTGGCATGTATAATGATCCTAATTGGTAAATCTTAATTAGAGGTTTAATTTAAGGATTTAAATGCCATAATTAGATTCAGTGAGTGATTTCGAGTATTTTGACTGTAATCATGACTAGGTTATGAACAGTGCGTTCTGTCGGAGAATTCACAGTCTTGTGAATTAACCGGTAGAGCTTAAATAAGCAAAATGATTTTAGAGACATAATTTGACAATTCTGGCTCCATATATGAGTTCAGAACGAAAAATTGTATAGTCTGGCACCACTAGGGTTAGCCTAGTGGTGTGAGGTGTGTGTGTTAGGAGTGTGTGTAGTGTAGGGTGTTGTGTTCAATTCCTTGTAACCTCCAAAAAAAAAATTGTATAGTCTGGCACTTTCCGTGAAAATCTCGTGAATAGTGTTTTCTACCGGGTATTTTGTACCGCTGTTTAAGCAACCGATAGAGTCCAGAAACAAATAATTGATGAAGTAAGAATAAGAAAGTCCAATATATGCCAAGCAAGTCAATATAGGCCCAAGAAAATGATAAGTTTATAAGTGTTAAGTTTCAAAAATAAATAAAGTACAGTTAGTGGTTCACAGTGCATTTCGTCAAAAACGGCACAGAAACCATACTGTGAATTATGAATATTGTTCCTTAGGAAATAAAAATTAATGTAAATGATTTTAGAAAAATAAAAATATGTTTGTAGCGTTGAGTTAGTTCCGGGTCAGTTTAAGTAAAAATACGCGAAAGAAAAACATCTGTTAAAAAGTCACATGTGTCTATAAAGCTTTGTCATCCAAGTGAATCACTATTCACACAACTAAAGCTCCTTTCTCTCTCTTGCAATCCGAGGAGTGCATCATGGAGGGAGGAAGAACTCCTCACACACTCAACTATAGCTCAAACTAATAGGTG